TGTGCAGCGATCTATACTCGTTCCCAATAGATGACAACGCCATATGCGAGGCACGACTATTTCGGAACTATAAATCATTACCGGAAAATTGTGAAAACACTGTGTTTTACGGACAAGGCTACAATGTTCAAAAACTTAAGGAAAATACGTGGTTAGTGTTAATTGCCGAACCAGTGAAAGTAACAATAAACTGTGAAAATTCCAATCTAAAGACAATCTCAATTCTTAAGAACTCAATATTTACCTTGCAATCAGGTTGTTTCGCTTTTATCGGGGTAACAAAAGTGCAGACCGGTTCAAAAAAACTTTCTAATATCGTGTACGATCCCGAACCCGTGTCAATAGACTTTGAATGTTGTGATGATATTCCAAATCTGCCAATTCCCAATTTAAAACCACTACAATTGGCAAATCTTAACGTAGACGATTTAGCAGTCACCAAAAATCAATTGGACCAGTACTCAAAAGAAATTGCCGACCTCATCAATAAACCCTTCGTGGAGAAAAACATTTCTTGGTTCACGTACTGTACCATTTGTTTCATCATAGGACTGGCAGCCCTATACCTGCTTTACCAGTTTTGGAAACATCGAAAATTAACAACACCAACACCACAAAAGGACCCTCCGAAGAAAAGACCCAATTTATCTGAAGAGGACACCGTTAAAATAGAAACACAGAATATTGAACTTTTTTGATTACGTTAAAAATCTTTTAATTTTATTATTTTACTTCTTATTTTCTATAGTCTTTTTCTTATTTAAATACTAACTTTATTTTATATTTTTTTTCTTTCAAAAATTGCTGTATAACATCAATTTTTTTTTGTAAAGGGGAGTTGTTATATAAAAAATTCACTCTATATATTATTTAATAGTAAATTCTCTCTAGAGTTAAATAATGCTTAGTTGCAATTCCTAGAATGGTTATCATTGACCTCTAGGATTGTATTCAGCCAAGTTGCATTTTCTTGTAAATGCAACACTTTTGTCACATTACACCTTTTAGATATTTCTTTTATTTTACCTATGTTATAAATAGGGGTGACACATTAAAAGTCAGTTAGTTATAACAACTCACCTACAACAAACACATTATACCTTTTAAGTAAAAAAATATTTTTTAAAAATCTAATTGTGTTATTCAAGATATAACATATATATATATATATATATATATATATATATATATATATATATATATATATATTGTAATGGACATTTTTTTTTATATAATTTTATTTTATACTATTTATTTTATTTGTATCATATTTTTTTTATTACTTACCTCATAAATAAATTTGTTTTGCGCCAGCTAGTCAGAAAATGTATTTAAAATGAACAATAAGAATTCTCATCTCTGGGTGCGGTTCCAAAATGACATACTAAGTTAATTTATTCTTATTCAATTTTAAATTAGTTTTACACATTAAATGTTCATTGCTTTTTAATCAAATACCATCTTTTATATATCCATTTTTTTTTAAAAAACAATTTGACAGCTCGAAATATATTTTTTTTTTATTTTTTATTAAATTTAAATTATAGTTAATTTTAAAATTTTTGTCCTGGACTATTGACCTCTGTACTATATTCCTTAAAATTTGAGATTGAAATAAATTTGTTACCAATCACAACTATTTTATTTCATTAATAACTGTAAAATAACTCAACAAAATTCTGGTTGAACATATATCTTATATCTATTCTTTAATTAATATTATGAATCATTTGAAATTATTTAATTTATATTTTCACTATAAAATTATCATCAAAATAAAATAATTTCAAACAATTTACGTAGTACTACTGATGACATCTATGAACTAAATATTACAACCTAAATTAGTAAACTACAAATTTCTAATGCAACATCTACTGAAATTTGTAATTACACCTTTTAGTGTCTATGGATTCCGTTGCCAAATTTTAGCATTAATTTGAGTATTTTATAACCACACCTTTTTTGATAATATTAATAATAGGATGTATAATTACTTTTTAATCAAAAATTGCATCGATTGTCTGTCTAATTAAAATAACTTTGCATGGTAAGTTTCACTATCAAAGTTTGTAATTGAATTTGAATGTAATATTGTATTTAATCAATTATTCTAGGTAAAACACTTATCTGAGACTGGTGTGACCTTCCTATGAATTCTTCTAGTGTCCAAACTCACTGCTGAAAATTCAGTTATGGGGAATAACTGATTGGAAAGCCTCCTTTCTCAAATGTAAGTAACCAAATTCCAAGAAATCACACTTAATATTACCTTTTGTGACAATTATTTACTTGTCTTGGGATGCCCAAACTTATTTCAATCAATTTGTTATTTTGATATACAATATATAAACATTTTAAACTGTTTCTTTTAGATTATTTTAAAAATTTACCACCAACCAAAATGTCTACCCCTGAAACTTCATTTATTTACTTTCTTTTCCTTCACTACCATGTCACTAAGGAAAAATTGAACAAAAGACACTCTCATATCTGGTTCCTGTATTATGTACTGGATGTTTATAACTTGTGGTATGATTTAAAAAAGGTATTCATAATTTATTTATTATTGCTCTTCGATACAGTTAAAATCTAAAATTCTATGAATTGTTATTATTTATATCTGTATTTATTTTTATTAACAATGTTTATCTCATTTATTTTGATAATAATTAGTTGCTGTCAACTACATCTGTCAATTTCTTTCTAAAATTAATAATATACAGGGTAGTTGTTTTTTAATGAACCTCTTTTGAGTATTCTTATTGCTCATATAATAATTTTTTTAATAGTATTTATTATAAATCTTACTTATTGGTTACAATATAAATACTGTTTCTTCACAATATATATATATATATATATATATATATATATATATATATATATATATATATATATATATACTATAGTTAATACATCTACTTTCCTAGTACTTATGTAAACAAATCTTTAAATGATTATAATTTCTTTTATAAAGAGGATGTTCTGTAATTCATTGTTTCTGCACAGCTAATTAGTTCTTTGACCAATTTTACTACTTACTGTGTATCCACCATGACTTGTAAAAATATTTATTCTAAATTTAAAAAAAGCAATTTTCTTTTGCTGTTAAATAAATATGATTCACTTTGAGAAACTTGGTTTTATGTACAGGGTGCACAAAAAATACAACAATTGTGAATTTGCAAAAGTAAGCAAACATTTTTGGAAGCACTTTTATAAAAAACTTCATTTGGCTTTTCTATTTTCTTCTTCCAAACTCTTCATTTGAGCCCTTGAGAAAAATTTGTATTAAAAAATTATTAATTTTTCAAATTCACAATTATTGTATTTTTATTGTGTACCCGGACAATAAAATCAAAGTTTCTCAACCTGAAATGTATTTCTTAACAAGAAAAAAAAATGTAGAATTACTTTTTTGAAAAAATTAAAATTAATATTTTTACAAGTAGGTATAGTTGAGTGTATCCATGAACACACTGTATATAAACAAAAACTTGGAACACTTATAACTTGGTATGAATGCACCTTACACTCATAAAATATTTTTTATAAGTACTTTTAGGTGCAAGCAGTTTGTGATTCTCAACGCCGAATAAGAGATGTTTTCATTGGATTCCCAGGATCAGTACACGTTGCTAGAGTTTTCAGAAATTCGCCATTATTTCATTCCCTACGAGAAAAATGTGGAGATAAATATATTTTGGCCGATTCAGCTTATCCCTGTTTGCGAAGTGTACTGACACCATATAGGAATTATGGAAATTTGACGGAAATTCAAAAGAATTATAACAAAAAATTAAGTTCTTGTAGAGTGCTCATAGAGCATACCTTTGGTATATTAAAACAAAAGTTTCGGCAGCTATATCACCTGAAGCTGAGGAATATTGAAAGTGTGTGTCATTTTATACGAGCATGTTGTGTTCTTTATAATTTGACTATGGGGGCTGAAGAAGAGGACAATATCAATGCAGAAGAACATATTGCAATGGTGGAAAATAATGATATGGAAGGTGATGAGGTTGGGTTTAATTTTAGAAACTATATTGCCAGCGTATTATACCATGGATAATAATTAAACAGTTTTACACCTATCCATTTTGTTTCATTTATAGTAATGCCTATATTTAATATTATAGTAACTCCTCAACTTTTAAAGATTATCAAAATTCATGGTGAATGTATATATTTTTTCTTGTAATTTCAGAATATTTTTGCATTAGGTTACTTGATAATTAGGATTTGAAAAAAAAAAACATTGAAAAAACATATTTCAACTTTTAAACATATATAGGGTGTACCAAACCACCAGGTTTGAAAAAAAAGTAAATAAATTCATACAGTTTTTTTATTACTGGAATAGAATATAATAATAATAATAATAAAAAAATAAATAATAATTCTGTTAAAAAATAAATATTAATTCTGATAAAAAATAAATAATAATTCTGTTAAAAAATAAATAATAATTCTGTTAAAAAATAAATATTAATTATAATACTAATATAACAAATAATTCAGTAATCTTGTAGTTGACAATCCTTGTAATGGACATGTCCAAATCACTGCACTGACTAGAATTTAAAACATGCCACCTTGCTAAATCTCCACTTTCATTTTAGCAGTTAGTGAAGTGTATTTTCTTAGGTTATTTTTGTTTTTATTATTTGTAAATATTTTATTTAATAGTAGATATTTATACAAAGAAAAATAACCTAAGAAATTACAGCACAATAACAAACCCCAAATGAAAGTAGAGATTTGGCTGGTCTCACATTCAAATTCTAGACATCAGTGCAGAGTGGTGTGGTCATGCACATTACAAAGACCATCAACTTCAAGATTACCAAATAATTCTAATATTTAACAGTCTTGAAAAAAATCAGTCTAAACTATATTTTATGTTTGTTTTAAAATATTAATGTACTCCTCGAATAGGTTCGTTCGTCTAACCCTATCTTCGTGTTTCTTTTTATTAAGTTCTAACTTCTCCTTTTCTATCCGGTTTTTTCTGTATAATGATTTTTTAAATCATTTTTAATATCAATTAAAATTTCATTTTGCTTTTTATAAGCAGGTGTAATATTCCTTTTAGAGCGCTTTCTTGAAGGGTTTTGAGTTTGGTGGAGTGCTACATTTCGAGTTTCTGCCTCTAGTGCAGTCTCTTCCACAGATATTAAATTTTTAATTGCTGGTTCAAATGATTCCAGGGGTGTCGAATGTGTCTCTGAGGACGATTGTGCCTTTCGCAAAACTTGGGTGCTAGTTAAGAGTATTCTAGGCATAATATTTTCTTTTTTCCCATAAATTATATCCAATTCAGCCTCGAATTCAAATTTTTTTCGACCTCGTCCAGTCTTCCTGTTGTTATCAACAAATTTTTTATATGACCGGTCGACCACTTTCCATTTATTTTCGCACTTTTCGGGTCCAATTGTTATTTTATATAAATTTGAAATTTCGTGGGCAATTAATTTCCACATATTTTTCATCGATTTTATTTCGGATGTACCTACCTTTGGTTTGTTTTTTTTTGATTAAATCTAATAAAGCTCTTGTTCGATCTGTATTAAAAAAATTATCTTCATCTGATTTGTCAGTAGTTTTAATTATACTTAAAAACTCGCTCAATTCACTTTCTGCAAGAAAAAATTATATATATTATTTTTTATTATATATTTAGTTGTTTACTGTGACTTTAAAAGTAACGAATTGGCATTGCCGCCAGATGTACTATAATAATATGTATGCCATATTTTTTTATGTAATAAAAAAAGCATACAAAAATTTTCCATTTTCACTTTGCTAAAAATTATAATATTAGGCATTCCAACGACCTGTCCAAATGGCTACCAGTGGGTACTGACAGTTTAGATATGGCAACCCTGTTGTCATGTTGTCATTAACAGGGTCAATGATACATATATATTATATACATTGCTCGAAGCTGGTCGTTTTCGAGCAGCCATATTGCCTGGCAAATATTTATTAATTTGAATCAGTTTAGCAAAAATGTGTTTTAAAACCAATTTTCAGACTTTAGATATTTAAAAAATAATAATTGCTTATATTTTTACTTCAAGGCATAAGCTTATGTTTATTTTAAAAAATAGGGATGATCAATCTATGTAACTATCTATTTCACTCACCTTGTCAAATCACCAGGCCTGCAGAGTTGCCATAACTTTGCCACATCATAACCTGTCAAAACCCACTGGTAGTCATTCAGTTTGGAATGCCTAATACAGTGAATTAAAAACATTCAAAACGATCATGGAGAGGATCAGGATGAGATAAATTATTTATCTACGTTTTACAAATTAATTGGCCTCTTTTTTTACTTTTTAAAGAATGACCGGTTATCGCTTCTTCTTTTTTAGTTAAAATATATTTTTGACGTTTAGCTGTTCTGGCTCTGTTTTGGTTTTTAATAAAAATGAAATTGTTACAGAACTGTTCGGAATTAAGGACCATTGCGCAATAGTTCTGCGCATGTTCTGGAACAATTCTAGAACGTGAACCAAAACAAACCTATATTAAATCATTTTTAGTGGGAAAACATTTCTTATGTAATGCTTAGATTGGTTGCTTATCATCAGCCGCCTACTATTGGTCTTAACAGAGACAACTACGAGACGTGTAACTTCATATAAAAATCGGTTCTGTGGATCGCTCATGCAGTGTATATCGTTTTCTCTCTTTCTCTTAATATTTGTGGATATGACTATCTCTTTTACAAATCACTCAAGGCAATGGTGAGATGTCGCCACCATAGCCCCCTTCTCTTTATGTTCTGTCGTTCTGTCATGTATATATCTTGTCAAAAGTCGTTATTTCTAGCCTAGCTTTTCGTTAGAGGTTATGTTTTGGAAAACATTTTTGTTTATTTTATATTGTGGCTTTTTATATTGTAGTGTGTGTAGTGTTTGTAACGTATTTTGTTTGCATTTTCAAGAGCTTATTATATTACTAAAGCTAAAATAGTTTAGACTTTTTTTGATTAAATAGCAATGCCGGCATTTTGTTTAATTTGTGGATGCAGTGAAGATGAGGTGTCTAAAATGCATTACTTTCCTTGTAATTCTACAAAGTAAGTACAATCTATCATTTAATTCAAATAAAACTGGTTTACTCGGCTTATGTTATGACAATATTGGAATATGAGTTGAGTTGCCAGTTAGGTCTCCTTTTTATGATGTACGTGTTAGGTCATTAGAATCTGTTCAAGACAAATTTCTTAGATTAGGTTTAGTAATGGCAACTCTGATTTTAATGTTTTATTAAACTATGCATCTTAAATGCCTAAAAATTTTCGAAGGGGTACACTCAATTTATTATTTTTGCATAAAGTAAAGGAGTTATTCATTGTTTTGAACTTTTAGAATCCATGCAATTTAGAGAACCAGTAAGATTCGTGAAAATTATTTATTCATTCCATTTCACAGAACCAATTATTATGACCTAAGTACCTATTTAGTTCTCTTAACAAAAATGCAAATTCATTAAATTTGGATATTAGGGGTAAATCTTTCATTAATTCCTAATGAGTATTATTGTTGGTTTATATAAAAAAAGTACCTACTCAATACTTCCCACTTGATTGACTTAAGTGTTGGTGTGTTTGTTTTTAAAATAACATTTGCAAAGTATTGTATTCTTTCCAATTATATTTTTTATTGTTATGGGGATTTCGAGTAGGTATATCCTTCAATAATAAAAATTTAAAATTTTAATGTCTTGGTATTTATTTGTAGAATCTAATATAAAATATTATTGTTTAGATGCAAATTATGGTTTGATGCCCTGGGTATTCCATATTTCGAACAGAAATGCGAAATTTCAGAATCTGCAGTAAACACTTTGCTAGAACAGATTATATTGGAAACTGGAAATTAAAACCGGATGTATTACCAATGAAATTTATGGACTGCCAGACAACTGGAAATGTTACAGATTTGTTGAGCAAAGATATAAGTAAGTTGATTATTAAATTATTTCAGCAATTTTATTGAATCTGCGAAATTTCACAATCTGCAGTAAACACTTTGCTAGAACAGATTATATTGGAAACTGGAAATTAAAATCGGTTGTATTACCAATGAAATTTATGGACTGCCAGATAACTGTAAACGTTACCAAGAAAGACTCATTTACCCTGCAGAACAACCAGTAGTTTCGGTTGTAACAGCTATAAGCTTATTGGAAGATTTTCTTGAGTCTCCTACTTAACATTTTAAATTTAAGTAAGGAAATAGAAAAGCTATTTGAAGAAAAAATAGATTTTGAATGGGTAACATGTACCACTCATAAACATTTTCTTATGAAATCTTTTTTTAAAGCAGTGTGGAAAATAGGCATTCCTTGGTGGTGTAAAAGAAAAATGAGGGAAATTAGGTCACAAAAAAATTACACAATCAAAAAAAATTAAAAAAATTTTACATATTTAATTTATAATATAGCTTTCGGCCCATGATAGAACAGCCTTCTTCAGTGGGTTTTATTTTTCGATTCGTTTATTTCATTATTTTATTTTTTAATTAATATTTATTATTAAGTTATTACTTTTCTTTTTTTAAATTCATATATCTATGGTATTTTATGGTTGTTTAAATTAATCCCATGTTTCATGTTTGCCAATTATTGTCTTTTTTTATGTATTTATGTCATTGCAATTTAAGGTTGGTTTTTGTTTGTTTAGTTCTGTTGTTTATAATATAGGTATTTAATATCAATATTTTTAATTATTATCATGAATAAAAATATAAAAACGATGGTATACTACAATTTTATTTATTAAACATTTTCCTTAATGACATAAAAAGAAAAAAACACTACATAAATTTATGGTTAGCGTTTTGTTGCTTATAAACTTTTAAAAAAAAAAAAAAAATATATAAAAGAATTAAACTTCGAAAAAATAATACATATTTACAGTGTCTACTTAAGTTGGCAGCATATGGAAAATTATTTTATTAGTGTTAGGAAAAAAAGTAAATATTAATTTGTTGTAATGTAAAATTCCCTCAGGCTTAAGAAAAATTCATAATTTCTGACAAGCCCTATAATTTTTTTCCTAAAACTAATAATAAATTTTCCATAATATGCTGTCAACTTAAGTAGAAACATTGTTTTCATTTAAAATTCCCGCTTATCCATGACCTATCCCAATGTTTATCAGATTAATATAGTTACTAACGCAAGAAGAGACCATTTAAAAAGAAGAAGTACAATTAAAAAGAAGATCTATGCGATCTGAATTTCCGGTTCTGTGAGCGCCGTGCACAGCGCCCTCGGTTGGTGCCTTTTATAGAATCGCCCAGTCAAATTTTGCCGAACCAATTATTTACATTGAGTTGCCCGTCTCTAGTTGTCTCTGGTCTTAATGATTATTGATTTTATGTCCCTCGCCTTCTGGAGGGGGAGTCGTTGCTCGTAGACAAAATTATAGAGATGGGATGGGATTTTTCTGTCTAGAGGTGAGATTGTATTTGAATAATAATGTGTTTTGTAGGTGAGAGGGTGTAATTTTATGTGATCGTATTATTACGTAATTGTAATGTTGCTTAAGTGTTCAAATGTAATTTGAACATATATTTAACAAAATTATCAACTTTTAGTTATATAACGTTTAAAAATAATATTAACACATAGATAAATATTAGACATTAAAACAACGTTAATTTTTAGTTTAAAATATAACGATACAATAACAGTTTTATTACGACTTTTATGAAATTTAAACTAACGATAGGGTAAGTCCGGATGAGATGCCGATTTTCCATATCAACTTCGATTACAGCTTCCAAATTAACATGACATTCTCAAAAAATACGGCGTTAGATTCAACATTTATTTATCAAAACAGAAATAATTCTTTTTCTGTAATATACATGTAATAAATATTTAAAAAAATAAAAACTGTAAATCGGCATCTCTACCTAACCTTGCGGGAGAGATGCCGTCGGATTAAGGTAGAGATGTCACTACACTACACGCCTCATAATAAGCACTTTAACACAGCTCTCGCACGTATTTTGATACTTGGTACATCCCTCATGCACCCACTGCTGGCAAAGAAGCCATTGAATCCAATCGTCATCTTTGGTTGTCTTCGTATACTCTTCGCCACATCCAGCGCAGATTGCGTCATCATGATTTTCTAAATCTGAACTGCTATCTAGAAGAGACAAGCTTAAACCTTCGTCACTGGACTCTTCTACCTGCAGTTTTAGGGTTTTCTGTTTTCCTTTTGGTACCGTCTTCCTAGTAAATTTCCCATTCTTAGATACCACAGATGTTTCAGCTGGATTTGTGCCACGTTTATTTTTATTGAGCTTCCCTTGCTTGTGCTCCTGAATGCTTTTACGCCTTTCTATAGCTTCTGCATTGTTTAAAATCTCTGCGAGCTTCCCTCCTTTTCTTTTCAACGTCCAGCACAGCAGCAGCTGGAACAGGAGATACAATGTTTAAAGCTTTTCCAGGC